AAGCGATCCTCCTGCCTCAGCCTCCCAAGTAGCTTGGACTACAGGTGTGCCTACCATGTCTGGGTAATTTTTCTATTTTTTGTAGAGATGGGGATCTTCCTATGTTGCCCGGGCTGGTCTTGAACTCCTGACCTCAAATGATCCTCCTGCCTCAGGCTCTGAAAATGCTGGGATTACATGCATGAGCCACAGTGCTCAGCAACATGGATGTTTGAAGGCAAAAAAAGAGCACCAAGATACCACAGAGGAAGTTGCTGTGAGAAGCAGCTGCCACCATTTGGGCTGGAGGAAACAAGGGAAAGAGGAAGGACTGAGCAAAACGCAGAATCTCAGAGGAGGCACCACCTAGAGCTCAAAATCAGACGCCTGAAGGGGGGCCCTGTCAGGCTGGTGCTGGGTCTCTGCTCGCGGAGGCAGGGTCCGGTGGAGCGGGGAAGCCAGCATTTGCTGGTGTCTCAAAGGGGACCACGAGGCTGGTTCTGCGTGTGTGGACTCAGGTGTTGCTACCTGGATGAACTGCCATTGCCAGGGTGCAACAGCAAGGACAGGGTGGCAGGACTGGGAGTCAAACAGGACAGGATGTGAAGCACGGGCCTCTTGTCTTTTGGTCACCTTGTGGGCATCTGTTGGCATGGCTGAGCAGGCTCCAGCAGGGGAGGCAGCCACGTGGCTACCGAGTCCCAGCACCACCAGGCAGAGTATAAAAGGGAAGGCATGGGGTTGGGAGATGGGGGGTTGGCTGCCAGCTCAGGGCCCTGGGATTCATCTCTCTTCCAGTCAGCAGGAAGTGACAAAGAGCATGGGACAGGCCTCTTCTGCTGACATTCAACTAGTAGAATCTAATCACATGTCAGGTGCAAGAAGGCTGGGAAACTCTTATATGTCTAGAAAAAACAGAAACAGGTTTTGGTGAGCAGCTGACGTTGTCTGCCGCTGGTGCCTTCTGGATACAGAAGAAAGTCAAGGCGGCTGCAGTTCTTTGGATGGCAGACGGAGGAGCAAAGTTTTATTTCTGGCGCAGCCTGTCTGGGCCCTGGCCTGGGCCCTGGCCACCCAGCAGAACACCTGCTGGCCTTCTTTCCTCCCTCTTGGCTGTCCTCAGGTCCATGGGCAGCTCTCACTGAGATGCACAGTATCTAGTACACAGAACCCCAGAGCCCTTTGTCCCAGGGCTGATGGGAGTGTGGCTCAGCCTCAGCCACCTCCCATTGATCTCCTGTAGCCGTCCCATGGTTCCATCAGAGTGCTCCACTCTATGGCCCCTTGCTGGCCTCGGGTAAAGGGGAAACATTCCTTTCCCTGTCCTACCTCTTCTTGGGGTAGGTGGGACATGCCCTTGCTGGCTCCCTGCAAAGAATCCCCTCCTCAACCCTCCTCCACCTCAGCACATGTCACCTCTGAACACCTGCCTTCTTTGTCCTACGGTCCTGGAAGCTTCTCATGTGACAAGCTGGTACAGTTGCCAGGTGTTCACAAAACACCCTGTAAGGCAGGGTGGCCCTGTCCTGCCTTGCAGAGGGCTACTGCAATGTGGAAGTCCTTTAAAATTTTGCTTGAACAATCATGTCAGCTTTGCATTCTATTCTAATCTATGATTGCTTTAAAACAAAAATGTGGTTTTTGTCTGGTTTCTGAGTAAAATCAATGGTGCAGGAAGAAGCAATGTTTATGCTCTGGCTTCACATCACTTTGAGGGTAAGAGCTGAGGCTGTGAGCAAACCACGGATCCCTAGGGACAAGTCCAAACAACACCACAACCTAGAGCATTAAGAAAAACTGGAGCAAAGGTAGCTTAGGAGCAAGCACGGTGGGCATGAACGGTAGGCAAGGTGGTTCCTACAAGACGCATTCCACCCTCAGCTGTCCTAGAGGATGGGCTTTCCCTCCCCTAAGAAGGTTCGCTGTGTCCTAAACGCAGTTGGAAATTTCGCTTATGTATAAAACAGACAGGGAAAGACAGACATCTTGTGGGCACATGGTAGCATTACATTACAGGCCTGGAAATGAATATACAGTAACTCAATCGATAATATCACTGAATTATGGACTATTAGAGTCACAAACTACTCCACGAAATATCTCTTGGGTTTTTAAAAGAAAGAATATATAGTTCATTTTTCTTATGGGTAAATGCATCAAATGAAGGAATAGCTCTTTTCATAAAGCAACATACAAGAACTTCCAAAGAACAAATAGCTTTCCATTTTGAGTTCTCCTTGGATTACAGACCAAATCCATTAGCCATTTCGGTGGAAGCATACGTTAATAAACTAAATCATCAGTTACCTCTGAAGCACATTATATTTCAAAGCTTTAGTTTTAAGACCTTACCAAGTATCTGGAAGGTACTGAGGGTTTGGGCAAGAACTGACACTTTTTCGGTTGGATCCTCTAAAGAGCTGACTAGACTCAAAAAGCGCAGGCAATCCCAAGACCAGAGGCTGGAATGCAGACATTCCTCCCAGTCATAGGGTGCTCGAGCAGAAAAACAGGTTTTTCTCGAAGTTTAACAAGAAAAGTCCTTTAAAAAAAAACCCTCTTTTCTTCCTATGAGTAGGCTAAAGATACATTTATCTATTTTCCAAAATAGACGATGTCATCAATAAATTATTAACAAGTACTCTCTGCATAGTGAATCCCATGGACTTGGGACTGTCCTTGTCATTTTTTACTTCAATTACAGTTAGCCCTTTGTAAGGAAATGTCAGCACAAACAGGTCACTTACTTGAGAATTTAAAGATAGATATGCAGTTCCAAAGCAATAGTTCGTCACTTTTTGCCGTCTGGACATTTACTTGTCTGTTTCCATCACGGTGACAGAATAGGTGTGCCCTATCATGTGAGAAAGAGGAAAAATGTAATTTTGAGCATTCTTCACTTAGTGGCCTGCATCAATTCCCATTATGACCTATAATCACATGTGTTTTTGTACAGCCTGCATACTAAGAATGATTTTTACATTTTTAAAAGGTTCTTTAAAAAAACCCAGAAAATGACAAATAGGTGGCAGAGACTTGTCCCTGCAAAGCCTAAAATATTTACGATGTGGCCCTTTACAGGAAGTTTGCCTACTCCTGAATTACCCAAACAAGACTTGTTTTCTTTTAATGTCTTGAGAACTGGCTTTGAGAAAGGTAGAAGAAATGCACTTTCATTTTTGAAGGGAAATACTTATTATTTCTTGCCCTTAATGAGTTGCAGCACATTTGGTCATTGACATTCACTTAGCACCTACTATGTGCAGCACTTTGCAGTGTTTAAAAGGAAGACTCATCTCTATGACATAAAAATCACTATCATCCAAATCTAAATGTGGTGTTATTAAAAATTACTCAATGTTAAGGGGCAGAAAAGGAGATAGGTATTACTTAGGGTTGCAGAGGTAAACATGGAACCTAAAATGGCAGGTAGGATGTAGAGCTGAAAGGAAGGATGTTCCAGGTGAAGGGAAAACAGTGGTAAGTGTGGATAGGGAGGGAGGCAGCAGTGAGAATTCCAAGCTCCCCCAGTGGTGTTTTGTGTTTCCTGGCTGTGGTTGGATGATGTAGAGGGAGAGAAAACTGGTGTCTCCCTCCACGAACGTACTTCGAAACAAACATTCATTGAAGCAACCTTAAATAAAAGGGAAGTTCTTGTGAAGTTAAATTTGTCTGGGATCTGAACCTAGAACTGGAAAGTCATCGAGATACATACAGGTCTCTCCCTTTCTCTAACAGGTCACGTGGTCTGTCTTCCAAAGGATATGAGGCTGTCCGGAAATTACTCAGCCACTGTTAATATAACGAGAATGGTTTGGGCAACATTGATATAATCTGGCAGCCAAGGCGAGTGGACAGTAATACACATGTGTGAACAATGACTTCACCATACTAGTCTGTGGGGCACTAGATGCCATTGGGTGAGCATATGTACTGTGTGGCTGTAGCATTCAAAAGCACTGAGAGAGTAGAATAATGAATCCGCATCAAATTTTGCTTTAAGCTTGAACATGCCTCCACTGAAACTATCCAGATGATTCAGAAGGCTTTGGGGGACAATGCAATGAGTGCAGTGCAAATTAAAGTGCGGTATGAATGCTTCAAAGATGGTTGAGAATGGGTTGAAAGGGATCCACATTCTGGAAGGCCTGCAATAAGCAGAACACCCGAGAATGTTGAACATGTACTGGTTAGGTTAAGAGACGCTGGGAGAACTGTGTGAGGTCCCAAGGTGCCTACTTTGAAGAGGAATGAAGCGTCATTGTCCTATCTACAATGTTTATTGTATCTTCTTCAATAAACGTGTCTATTTTTCAAATTACATGGCTGGATACTTTCAGGACAGACCACATGCAGCTGCCGCCTCCTGCGCGTCTGCTCACTTCCCCCTTCTCTTTTAACCCCACTCTTGTTTTTTACCCACTTGTCGCTGAGTAGAGCCCAGACTTCTAGGTGGACGTGCCCTACCCAGGGCATGTCCACAGTTAGGTACAGGGCTGTCTTCCTTGGGTGTCAACGGCAGAAAATCTGTCAGAAATCTAGCTGTGGGTGGGTATCTGGTTCCTCCACTGCACAAGTGGTAGCCAGAAAGTGTAAGCAAGGGTGCGGGTCTGAACTCTTAAGAAACCCCAGGGGAAAATACAAATTGCTTGTTGGGAAGAGTTTTCAGTTGCAGTTTCCATACTTACGAGTTAGGAAGAGGCTGGTAAGGCCTGGGCATTAACTTATCATAGGTAATGCTCGCGTTGAACTTTAAGAAATTTGGGCTTTATAAACCAGACGATGGGAAGCCACAAGAGGCTTCCAAGAAAGGTACTGAGGGGCAACTGGCTGTGATTATGAAAAAGATGATTCTGGGGACGGTGAATAAGGTGCCTGGAGATGGGAAAAACTGCGGTTCAGGCGAGACATCGGGACCTGAATTTACCCAGTAACTGCGGCCAGGGCGAGGATTCTTTTCTTTTTCCCCTTTTTCCCTCACTCCCAAGAGGTATCAACACAGGACTCGTAGTGGTGGGATAATGACCAAGTGGGTGTGCGGGATCGCCAAGGATTCGGCCAGGCTCAGTGCTCGGCCCCTGGTGAGTGGCGGCGCCCACAGCTGGGGCCTGGAAACCCGCCGCTCGGTCTTTAGGGGCCCCCACAGCGATGAACGCGGAAACACGACCGAAGAATGAGAGGCCGGAAAACAAGCGGAGCCACGCAGAATTGGAGCGGCCACCTGCAGCGAAGGCCGCTAACAGGCGCTGAGGCGCACAGGACACCGCCAGAGAAACAGTTCGACCTTTGCCCGCCGCGCGGCGCGCCGGGAACTGTAGTTCCCCCTTCTCCTGCTCCCGGACCCGGGGCGGGCTCCAGGACGGTACCTCTCCCTCTGGTTATAAATCGCGCACTTTCCTGTCCCGGACGCGGGGTCCTTGCACCCCAGTAGGCCCCTAGAGCTGACGTCATCAGCGGGTCACCTGCCCTCATAGCCGAAGCGTTCTGGTGGCTGTGGAAAGCCTGTCGTACAGCAAGCTGGCAATAAAGGATTGGCTCCTAGCAGTGGGAGGACTGCACTTCCGATGCCTCTTTTCCCGTTGGCTTTTCCTTCGCGGACGTCTCCTCCGCCGCTGCTCCGGTACCTCTTTTGTTCAGGCGGCGCCTTAGGCAGCCCCGCGCCGCGGCGAGGGGTGGGGCGAGTCAGGGCGGGGCGGGGACCTGGCTCAACTGCGTCGCGCTCGGGGGCCGCGCCGGGCAGCCTTCTCTTTAGTGCCTGAGGCAGCTCTGGCTCGGAGAGCCTTTCGCCAGCTCCACGGGGACCTCTGTGCACGGATGGACCCGCCCGGACCCGGCGGGAAGCGGCCTGGCAGGCGGCGGCCCCGGCAGTATCAGCAGAGAGAGGACAGGGCCGAAGCCGCGGGTCCCTGAGACGCGCGTGCCCACCGGGCCCGGCGGCAGCACCATGATGCCGGGCGAGACACACTCGGCGGCGCCCGGGACGGCAGCAGACCTCTCGCGATGTCAGGGCTGTGCCTCCCTGCAGCAGGTGTGGCATGTCCCGGGGGTCGAGGGAGCCAGGGGCGACTGGGCGCAGCCGGCCGAGGGTGCGGGGCTGTGGGGTCCCGCGGGCCGCACCTTAGCGCGCTGCTCCCACTTCCCAACAGAAGCGCCCCGTCGCCCCCTTCTCGCTCCCTTTTCTCCTGTTTTTCTCCTGTCTTGTTTTTGGGACGACTTCCTTTGCTTTATTTAGGCTTGGGACCCGTAATTCATTTATTGGGATGCGATGGTGATGGGGGGCGGAGGGAGTGAGTTTTGGAGGGCCCCCTCTTTTCCTGTCCAGCCTAGGGCTGACTTTTCGGTTAGTATGTGATAGGTGAAATGCTGAGGGTAGTTACCACTCCGAGTATAAGGCTTTGATTGTCTGGTCCATCTTAAGTATTTGTTGCTTGGAGGCAGGATCTTATGTGACATGTGTGGGTCCTTAGACTCCAAGGCTTCGGGGAAGCATTTCAGCTCGTATCTGATGAGCTCTCCCGAGGCTAATTTTTTAAGTATAGTAAGTCAGGTAATTGGTTAAGTCAAGTAACATGTCAGTTGTTTCATTAAACTAATCAATTAAAGGCAGGCAGAGATTGGAAGTTTCTAACAGGAGCATGGATTGTTCTTTACAGTGACAGAAGGAGAGTTGCTAGAGTCTGGCTGCAGGTCTCGCGATGTTATTTGGGAAATAGTCCCCCTCGTTTCCAGTGACTCTCTTAGCTGTTTGATGTTGGGAGTCTCATTTAACTCCTTACAGTCACTGTCTTCAGTGATAAAATGGAACTCATGGAACTCACCATCGCCATAGCTACCTCATGTAGTGTTCTGGGCACTGTAGACATTGTGGTGAACAAAATAGATGAGATCTGCTTTCTTAAGATGTGTGTGTGTAAATAAGACTTTAGAAGATTTTAAGTGTTAGGAAGAAAATAAAGTAGGATGTTGGAATAGTGGTCGTGTCTCTTGGCTGGAGTGGTCAGGTAGGATGTTTGTGAGGTGGTGACATTCAGAGAGGAATTAAAAAGTGGAAAGTTTGCTGTAGTGAGAAGGAGAAGGCTGTCTTTGAGCAGAGCACAGTGTGGTTGGCATGAGTGTAGTGCATGGGAAGATGGTTAGTAAGGAGAGACTAGAAGGGAGTGCAGACTAGGTAGGCCATGCAGAGAAGCTTAGTTTTTATTTTAAGAGCATTATCCGTGAACCGATTGCAAACATTTTAAGTATTGGAAGCAGGGGAGGGAGCAAATGCCCTGCCATTCTGGGTAGAAGGAGGACTGATAGCAAAATCATTGTCTTTATTGAGCTGCGTTGTGTAGGTGTCTTATAATGTGCCCCCCCCAAAAAAAAAAATCCAGAAACGTGAGTGGAATTCTCTCAAATCTTTAATAAATTATGTTTATTCTTTGAACCAGTTCACTCACTGAACAAATGTTTATTGATCATCTGCTGCCTTTTAGGCATTGCAGTAGCTGTGGTGGGGTCAAAAAGACAAAAATTCTTGCTCTCTTGGAGCTTCCATTCTAGGATGGTAGCTGGATGAATAAAACAAGGAAGTTACGTTATTAGATAATAAATACATTGGTGATAAATTGAGCAGAGATGGGGAAGGAACGAATGTGTGAGGAGTGGGCCAGTGACTGTTGGAATTTAGATAAGGAGTCCTGGAACAGTTATATTTGAGCAAAGGTTAGAGAATGAGCTCTGTTGAGATCTTGGGAGAAAAGCGTCTCATGCAGTGGAAACATCAGATGTGGAGGACTGAAGCAGGAGCTGGCTTGGTGTGCTTGGGAAGAGCAAGAAGTCCAGTGAGGCTGGAGTGGAGTGAATGTTGGGAGTTGGATGAGGTCAGAAAGGTAAAAGCAGGGTCTGATTGTGTGGCCTGTGCAGACCATTGGTAGGGTTTGGGCTTCTCTCATTCAAATGGGAAGTCATTGGAGGCTTTTGTGTAGGAGAACTACTGATTGAATTATGCTTCTGAGTCATAGAGCTGATCTTCCTTCAAAAACCTGGTCTACTCTAAGTTGAAAGTAGCAACTATAGCTTTCTGGTTGCTTAGGCTAGAAACTAGATGTTATCCTTGGTGCTGCTTTTTTCTCTCACAACCTATATTTGATCTGTCAGCTGGTTCTGATGGTTCTCCCTTTATTATCCACCTGCTTTTCACCATCTCCACTGCTTCTACCCTGGTATGAACTACTCTACTCTTAGGGCCTAGAAATTACTGCATTAGCTTCCTAAGCAGTCTTCTTCCTTCTACCCTGTATTTATTGGTTCACACTGTTGGTTCTCAAAACAGCAATAGGAGTAATCCTGTTAAATCTCTAGATCCAGAGATCTGCAAACTTTAGCTGTAAGGGGCAAGATCATAAACATTTAGGCTTTGGGGACTTGTTCACAATTATTCAACTCTACCACTTTAGTGTAAACACAGCCATGGACGATCCGCAAAGGATCGTGCTGAGTGCAGCTGTGTTCCAGTGAAACTTTATTTACAGAAACTGGAGGAGTGCCTTAGTTTGCAGAGCTCCTCTCTGGGTCAGGATACTCCATTGCATTTGGCTTTTCCGTGGCTTGGAATTGGAATGCCTTTAGGGGAAAAAGGTGGTCAGTTGTGAGTACAGTCTCTGGAGCAATTCCGTAATTTTACAAAGTGAGGCTGGAAAAATACATTCCTGTGAGCCACCACACCTGCCCTGCTCTGTAGTTTTAACACAGTGAAACTTCTTGATCTTGCATAAAATTTACAAGCAATGTATGAGTCTTTCCAATAGGAGACAGCAGTAGGAGTTGCTGGGACTTTATTCTGAACTGCAATGTTTGACCAACTAGCCTCTGTCCTGAATTTAATAGTGGTTTGCTTGCACTGCAAATCTTCCTTTCGTGTCTTAGTCCTCTATCCCCTTTGTTCTTTAGTAGTTAGAAGGGTAGAGTACCTTTACTGAGATGATTACTTAATATAGAAGTGCACAAAATGACTGCATTTTATGCTTTTTTTCATAATCTCACAAATTACCTCTTCTGTTTCCTTCACCCTCATTGATGACAGTGTTTCATCACTGATCTGTAGTACAGTGTCCATGTGGGCTGCAGAGCTTTGGTCGTCATGTAAACCAATGTGGGGCCTTACTCTGGTGATGTTATATACAATCAAGCAAATCTTAAGTTGCATTTTTTTTTATTTCAGTGGAAATATTACTTTATTTCTTCCTTCTGCAAGGCATTTCTACACATCATTTACTACATTATTCAAATTGTTTGAAATTGATTCATTTTTTTTAAATTTCAGACTATTATGGGGTTACAAATTTTTTGGTTACATCTATTGCTTTTTTACAGTTTGAATCAATGTTATAAGTGTGGCCATCACATAAATAGTGTGCATTGTACCCATTCGGTATGAATTTACCTAACCTCTCCTCCCCGCTCTCACCTGCTTGATTTCTCGAGTTTTACTTCCATATGTGCATATAAGGTTGATCAATTAGTTCCAGTTTAATAGTGAGTACATGTGGTAAAGTTGCATGGTTTTAAGTCAAGCTAGTCATGCTGACATAAGTCACTTTATTCTAAAGAAGGAGAGTCTCCTTTTTGCCTAGCTTCACTGCAGGGCAAAACAATTGGACTCTCTTGGGGATCCAGATGAGTGTTTGAGACACATGGTTATACTGTTCAACTCATGTAACTAGATTAGATTCAGTTTGGTGTTTGGCTGTCCTCGGGACAGATTTGAACCTACTATTTACATAAACTTGTGCTGGACTCCCATTCATAATTGCCAGTGGTTTAAACTTTGTGAAACATTTTTCCCCAGGCATACTGATCTATAAGTGGTTCTAATACAAGGAATGCTCACAAAGTTATAATTTATTCATTTCCTAAAGATATTTACTGAGGATTGTTGTATATGTGATGCCATGTTGTGTTTTGGAATACAGTCAGGAACAGAAGAGGCATGGAGCTCATTCTAGTTGAGGTTACAGTTGAGTGAAAAAGCAACCACAGTCTAAGTATAATGTGATAAGTATTACGGTGGGCCACAGAGGAGGTGCTCTGGGAGCACGTAGGAGGGACCACTATACAGGACTGTGTGACCTCTGTGAAGCTTCATAGGAGAAATGATTCTAAATGGAGGTCTGAAAGATGATTTATAGTTAACTAAGAGGAAACAGGTGGAGGGAGAGTATTATAGACAGGGGGAATAGCTTGTGTGATGGCTTGGAGGGGAGAAAATAGTTACGGTAAGTGAGCACAAAGTAAAAGACAGGGGTGATGGAGAGTGAGGCTCCGGAGGTTGGGATTTTGCCTTCATAGGACCCAGAAGCCACTAGGCTAGTTTTTGGTGGGTGAGTGTGCCTAGAGCATAGTTGGAGAGGGGTGGGCATTCCCACCTTGCTGCCCTGTTCCAGTATACACTATGCCAGAGGTCCTAACAGCTGATCCCTTAGAGATCAGTGTAGGCTTTGATTGATTTTTAAAAAGAGCAGTTAATAAACAGTTAGCAAACCAGGAGTTGGAAATGTGCTTTATCAAAGAAGGGTCAAGCTGAACAGTTGGCCAGATCTCCCCCAGCAAAACAATAAATATGATTAGTGTGATTTTTAAAAATAATTATTTTGAAATAATTTCAGACTTATAAGAAAGTCTTAAGAATAATATAAATAACTGTACTCGTCTCAAATTCAGTGGAATTCTCTCAAATCTTTAATAAATTATGTTTATTCTTTGAACCAGTTCACTCACTGAACAAATGTTTATTGATCATCTGCTGCCTTTTAGGCATTGCAGTAGCTGTGGTGGGGTCAAAAAGACAAAAATTCTTGCTCTCTTGGAGCTTCCATTCTAGGATGGTAGCTGGATGAATAAAACAAGGAAGTTACGTTATTAGATAATAAATACATTGGTGATAAATTGAGCAGAGATGGGGAAGGAACGAATGTGTGAGGAGTGGGCCAGTGACTGTTGGAATTTAGATAAGGAGTCCTGGAACAGTTATATTTGAGCAAAGGTTAG